TTCTCCACAATGCTCGCTCCTGAAGCCAAACTAAATTGGTGTAACTTAAATGGTTTATTAACTTCATGGGGAATTGTGCTCTTGTAAGATCCCCCGTTGAACCTATGATTCTCTTGCTGTTGATGATTATGTGAGTTATTCATGACAGCGATGCCTTTCTAATCATAAAATATTTTTATAGTAAAATTTCTTCAAGAAAGTTCAGAAAATAGAAAACATTTCATGTGGAATTAATACCACATTATCCTATTTGAGCAACGATGATAAGGAGAAGTTGTGTGTGTTTCTATGAATTTGTCTTTACACCACTTTTTTACTTCTTTAATATCATTCTTGCGCGCGTAATCGCCAATTTACATTTTGATATATATTTGTTTTTTATCCTTCGTGAAATTTTAAAAATTTTTTGTGTTTTTCTATCTTTTAATACTTCAGCAAATCGTATATGCTAAAGTAATCTATTACAATAACAATATACTTGTCTTCGTATGGTCCTATTACACCAAATATTATCTTTTCTCCCATGTCATAAAAATAATATAATAAGGTTTGTTTGATCTTATCGGAACATGTAATTTACATTTTACACAATTTTGTAGTAATTTTTATCTAATCATATGATACCCCTTCTTTTTGTGTTATATTAAGTTGTTTGCATGTCATTTTTGCTTCTTGGTAAACTATTTCTTTGTGAAACTTTGATATATTCTTTTCCAATTTTTTGTTGGCATTCAAGTAAATTGATAGGATGCGGCCTGTTTAAAGATAGGACGAACAAAACGTTTTTACGTCGACGGCTTTCCCATTTACTCTGTTAAAAGAAGTGTTTTCATGTAATAATTTATATTTATTGATTTGCACTCTTGGTGCTTTGTTGTACGTATGGTTTCTGTGTGAACGCCTTATGCTGTTTTCCATATATTTTCTCGTAATCGAACTTATTTATATTTTTAAGTTTAAAAATATAATAAATAAACTAAACATAAAATAATATTTGTTAGTATTAGTGTAAATTTCAGTAAAAATTAAATCATCTATGTTATAGTTATACCACAGTTATCTTCTGTTTTTTGGCAAACTTCTTCGTCTTATCTTGCTCTTCTTGAGCATTCGCATGTGGGCTCTTTATTCTTTTATATTTTACTTTAAAATTAAAAATTTAGATCCTTTCTAGCCATCGTAGCCCGCCCGAACGAAATGTTCCTTAACCGTCTAATACTACGAGTGCTTTCTGAACTGTCACTAATACAAAGTCGCATCCAAGCATAAATTTGAAATGTTCTATTGCCCATAAAGAAGCCAACTGCTGGAAATGGCTGGCAGTGAATTATTCTTTAGGTAGTACTTGACCAAACTACCAAAAATAGAAGACTTTTTATTTAATTGTTTATTTAATTTCATTTTTAGATAATTTTTAATCTATTTATAGCTTGTATTTTAAATAAATCAAAAAAAAAATAGACACAAGCTAATTATTTTTCAAAATTCATGTTTAATCAGTTTCATATTTGTAATATAGTTTCTAACGTCATCAATTAATACAATTAAACAAGTTATAATTATCTATAACACCAGCATTTTCTTTTCGCCAATCATATATTTTCGTCCTGCGCTCCCCATTTTTCGTAACGCAAACGCTATTGGTCATATTTCGACATCTTGATATAAGATGGGGTCTTCTTCATGATTTTGCTTACCTTTTTTTCAACCTAAAAATAGGGACTAAAAAAAATAAAAAAAAGATAATAAAGTCAAGAAACCAATAGGCACAGCAAACTGGTAGGCAAATTCGTAAAGTTAAGCAACTATCCCGATATTTTTGCATAAATCGAAAGTACTTCAAAAAAATCAATGTTTTTGTTTTTAATCCCAAAAATACTACTAATCCAATACATACTAACTAACGCCACTACCATCTAACCAAACTACCCAACCATCTTACCATCAATCATCATCATCATCTCAAAATCTAAATACTTAACCTAACCACCTAACCCAATACTACCTAACCTAATCTAATACTACATAACCCAATACTACTATATATATCTGTATTCATAAATACAAAAAGTTGTTTTAATTTAATAACAAAAGCACATATAAAACCAAAAAGCCATCAAAATTATTTGAAAAAAATATTAATGATTTCTTTTAGAAAGAGCAAAAGATTTAAAATTTTTTTAAAATAACCCTTATGAATATTACAATAGAACATGAATTTTTTCCAAATTTTGATGTGCCAAAAATCTTTTTTATGAGCAATAATATTATAAGCTCCTCCATTTCCTGTTCAAGGTGTGGCAATTTGTCCAGGTTGTTGCCCATTTCTGTAAGCAACGGATGTATAGGTTGTAGATGCACAAAGAAAGGATGCCAAAAACGCCTTCCTTTGCTTCATTCTACTCTGCCCTTAACAAAAGTAGTAAGACTGTTGTATTGCTTAATGTGTGATTTAAATTACTTTCAGTTGTCGATATTTTTTGGAATATCCGACACTACTATTTCAAAGTATAAGTCTTTACTTCTAGTTTGTTAAAAAGACTATCTTGAAAAAAGGCCTGTTGTGTTGGAAGGATGTGGGATAACTGTTAAAGTTGATAAAAGCATTTTATCACGTAAAGAGATTATTAGAAATCCTACGGGCACCGATGATACTGGGGATATAATTTGGATATTAGGTTGAATAGACCGAACTGAAAAGAAAGCTTTCTTTGTAGAGTTACTGGTTGTACCATAGGATCATTAACCGCGCCTATGATGCCTAATATCAACAATGATAGCATTTTATTTGCCGACGGACATTCGTCATATCCGCCTGTTGCAAGAAATTTAAACTTTAGGCATCATATAGTTAATCATACTGAAGGTTTTAGGTCAGAAGATGGTTCCCATACAAATAATAATAAAAGGGTTTTGTATCTATATGAAAAGCACTATGAAGAAAGAAGGTGGCGTTTTTCTTAACCATGTCGAGCCTGGTTAATTCAGTATACATTTAATCGAATGTATATTTTAGATAAAAACAATGAAGAATTTTCTGAAGTATATACAATGCTCTTCAAAAGTTTACGACATGTTAAAATTGGGAGTACATATAGTGAAAACGATTCTAATAGAACAACATCTCCCCTCTTCCGAATTTTGCAGAGTTTTCTTTTTTTTCAAAGGTTTTAAATATTTTATTCAGTGGGTGCACGTTCAGGCCGTTTTTAAAAAGAAATGTTTTCTGCAAAAAAATGATGGTCAGAAACAGCAAATTAAGAATTTTGAAATATAAGGCTTTTTTCACACAACAAAAACTTAGTTTATTCATTATAAACGAGAGGTATATATTTGAAACGTTTTTGAGTAGTATAACGCACCTTGCGTTCTAGCAAGATGCGAACTTATTAAAAATAAAATGGGGTGTGAAAAATGCAGAGATCGACTTGACTGATTTGGTTTTGCAACGAAGAAAGAAAGTTTTGGGTGGTTACTAATGGGTGTGTGTAGGTGGCTTTGTACTTTAGTTGCTCTGTGCGAAAAAGAAATATTTTCGAAAATTTTAAGTTGTCTTTTGATACAATAATTAAAATTATATTTAAGTATATTGGTGGTTTTCGAATATCGACATAGCATATGAGCCATAAATTTCTCGAAACACAGTAACTGGTATTGTAGATACCATAAGAGACATTTTTTGTGACTACTTTCTTACGACACAAGAAAGAATTGGTGATACGAATCAAATTGACGATGGTTTATGGGCGTATTACGAGATGCACAAAAAATATTTTATGTTGCCTGTGGAAAATAGGAATACTACTATGATGCTGGAATAATTTTAGAACATGTAATGCCGGGACAACACCAATAACAGACAAATGGGTGGCCTATCGATTGGCACTTGAGAAGATGGCCAAATTTTAACATGAACCCATAAATCACTCCGTTAATTTTGTAGATTCATTGGATCCTGGATTGCACATGCAAAATAATAAAAGTTTGTGATCGAGGAGAATTTTTTTTTAAAAAGAAAAGCGGAATTTCACAGGAACAACACCACATTTAATTAATTCAATTAATATACAAATATTTCATTAAAAAACAAAATCGGATCAATCGCCTTTATCACTTATTAAAAATTTTTCCTTTATTTTTTATTTTTTTAAAATGGTCTGAAACGTGCACCTACCTTAAATTCTGCTTAAATCTTATTTAATTTGTACCTGCCGACAAAATTTCATTTTTAATTTAAAAACCTTGTCAAAATTTGAAGACCCCCTCCCCATTTCTTGTTACAATATAAAAAAGTAAATCTTAAAATTGATTGTATTTTTCTACACAAGCTTATTAACGTGTTTATCTGCTCTTTTAAGTGCATTATGGTGTGTTTATAGATTTTTTCTTAATTAAGAAAAGATAAGTAAAAATACTAAAAATAAAACTATCTCGAAAATTTTGAATATAAAATGTCATTGGTGCAGCTGACACATGACCATCAATCTCTGTTTGTTAAATCAATTCTTGTGTGGTTAAACAAACAAGTGAGCATTCAATATAGATCAGTCTTTTCGTTTTCCTTTTAGCTTAACTTTAATATACTGTATTCTTATATTGTTTGTTTATGTAATTTTTAATTAATTAAAAACTATAAATAGAATTTTTACCCATAAAGAAAATGATGGACAATGGGATTAACAAGAAGCCTTCGCACAGACTTTCACGGAGCTTCTCAAATAGACATAACTTTTCTTTAAAATTTTCTAAACCGAACATAAAGGTACTGAAAAAATTTCATATTCATACTTTTTTGTATTTTTAAACAATTTTTGATGTACCACGGCTATTGTTATTTTCAGGTCGGACCACAAATTTTATTAAAACATGCAAATATTTTCTTTTTTCAAGATTGTATTTTTTATACCTTAAAATGGGTAAATAAAAACACCAAGTGATGTTGAGAAAGGCCAAATTTTGGCTTTTAAAGAAAGCTAATATGACAATTTCTGCGATTTTTGGCAAGATAAATAGGAGCAGACACGTGATACAAAGTTTTTTATAAAAAAAAGCAATTATGGAAAAAGGGAAATACAGGGTAGGCCGAAATCTCTTTCTCTTAGGAAAATAAATATGATACATAAATTGTCTAATAATAAAGCCATTTCTATCAAAAAAATCAATACACAAATTAATTCAGGCATGTCGAACTTCACAATTCTTCGAGCACTTCATCTGAATAGAAATCTGGTGTATAAAAAGATGAAACATTCCCCAATTGTTCACAAGGAAACACAAGAATATAAGATTTGAATTTGCGCTCATCAGAGTACTTTGGACTACTAAAAGAGAAAAAATTCAATTTAGAAGCCCGGATAGCCTTAAATATTACTGGTACAACGTTAATAGTGAAGAAATTAGCTACAGTAAATAAATACGGGGAGAGACGGGATCATGGTCTGGGCCGGGGTTTGTTACAATCAGAAGCTTGTGTTACATGTAATAGAATCTCGCATGAACAGTGGATTCTACTGTAATATGTTAGAAATTTTGCATAAAAGTTTTTTCGAACAAAACAGCAATAATGATTTCGTTTTTTAACAAAATAATGCCCCGTGTCACAAAGCAAGAGGACGGGGGAATGGTTTAATGAAAATGATATTAATGTAATGGGGTGCCATCTCTAGGTCCCGATTTAAACCCAATAGAAAATGAATGGTCCGACATGTCAAAAATAATTTATGGCAAAAGAAAACAATACAGAAATACTTGTGAACTTAAAACCGCTATTTTATCGGCTTGTTTAAAAATACCATTAAAAAATAGGAAATTATGTAGCTGGAATGCAAAACAGGATGTTGGATGTTTCAAAAGAAAGGGGGCTAAAATTAATAAATGAGTGTCATGCCACAAACATGACAAATAATTGTTTTTGATTTCAAAAATAAAACTGATGGTTTGAAAAAATGTTTTGGAATGAAGCAATGTTTTAGAAACTACTATTCAAAGAAAAATAATTTTAAAATGATGCGTGAAGAAAATAAGAAAAGTATTAGAAAGTTATCTGGCCTTAGACATCGTTATGTAATAAATGGTTTTATTGAAAAGTATTACAAGTTTGGTAGCTACGCTCCGAGGGCAAGACAATAAGTTTCAAAAGATTGCTTTTTTTGCATTTTTTGACGAAATTGGTGGTCCGACCTGAAAATAACAATTGACGTGGCATTTAAAAAGACAAAAAAGTATGAATATGAAATTTTTACGGTCTCTTTATATTCAAAACCTTTGAGGTAGTTTTGTTTTGGGTGTTTTTACGTATCTTTTTTTGGCTGAAGAATACGATAGAAATCCATATTTGTCCTTGCAGATTTAAAACTTTTAACACCTAAAACGAGTTACAAAATTACGAAGAAGAAAAAATCCTTAAAGAAAAAAACAATGTTTTTTTGCATTAAATTGAAATTTAAACATAATAATTCAATTTAAATTTTGAAAATAAGTCGTTTTTTGTCAATCTACAAAGAGATTAAATACTTTTTCAATTTGCAATCATTTATTGTTTTTGTGGTTTTTATAACTTTAAAAATGAATATTAATTTCGATGAAATAAAGAATACGTTTAAAAAAATTGTTTCTTATATTATTATAGAAAGGATTGTTTGCAATGTTTAAGCAAAGTCGAAAAGTAATTGGGGATAAAATATTTTACGATATACTCGTGCTACTCGCAGTGAAAAAATTACCAGTAAGAAACAGTTTTGTAATGAAAAAGTAATTGACCTGTAGTTACGAAAGTTCTATTTCTATTTTTGCATAACAATTCGATAAAATCTATAAATTTTATATCAAGATTAAGTAAAAAAACAATCGGTCGTACTGCAAAACGTGTAGGACAAAATATAGATGAACCCGGGATAATTGTTGTGTTAAAACAACCAAAAACTGCACGATTTTTGATATACTCAAAAAAAAATTTTTTACCCTTATCTTTTGATGTTACAATAGGAGGAACAATATGAAGAAATTTTAAATATGATCTGAGTATGTACTTTTGCTCGTTGTTGCCAAAAATGTGGATCGGAAATTGTACAATATGGCGTATCAATAGTACGCTGTAATGATAAGTTTTGTAAAATAAGATATTCTACTTTTAAACATACTGTTTTCTTTTCCCTTAAAATTTCTCCTTCGACCTTTTTAAAAATTGTTGATATATTTTTTAACAATCTTCCATTTGAGATTATTTCAAGAATTACAAGAATATCAAAAAGTAAAGTCTCTGATATGATTTACAAATTTAATAAAGAATTAATATATAATAAATATCTTGAGAGCATTAACTTGTGGAAGAAACGGAAATATAATGGAGATTGACGAAAGCAAGCTGGGGAAGAGGAAGTATAATAGGGGTCGCGGGGTTGACGGAGTTTGGATCTTTGGTGCAGTTGAGCACCATACTCGTAAAATTTTGTTATGTTGGGTGATAAAAAGAAATAGAACAGAATTTTAAAATATTATGTTTAAATACATCTTACCATATTCTGTAATTTACAGGGGCGGTTGAAAAGCCGATCTCCATTTAAAGCTTCATTATTTTGCATACAAAACCGTAAACCATTTAAAAGAATTGTTAAATAAAATTAGTAGTGTGCATACAAATACTATAGAAGGAAACTGGTCGGGGTTAAAAAGAAATGTGTTCCACAGAAGTAGAACAGCTTTATTAGTAAAAATATATCACCTTAAATATATGCTTTGGAGAAATCAGCCAACAACAATGTTAAAGGATTTACTATATATTTCTCTTTTTTACAAATATGAATAAAAGTTTTATGATGTATAATACAAGTTTTAATTTAGAATTTTAAACAAAACAATTTTGAAATTTGGCTTTATTTATTTTGCAAAAGTTACTTTTTATAAAAATAAGAATTTATATTATCAGCCGGACGACCAAAGGGGCGTCATAAGACTGAAAAGGAAAGAAGATAAGAGAATTTAATTTAAAACTCGAACTAATTAAAATAGTCGGATGATAAGAAGAATCTGGATGAATACGAAAAAGAAGACAAACACAACGATTATATATAATTAAATCAAAGCGTCAAAAAACATCGAGGACTTTTAATTTAAAAAACCATTTAAACAAATATCTTACCCGAAAGATGAAAAAAACGATGAAATTAAACAAGACTGAAAAACCAGAAAAAGAGGAAGATGAAATAAATAATTTAACTAAAGACATTTTGGGGACTCCGGGCTCCCGGGATCGGGAGCTTCACATATATCATTATTTTTACAGAATGAAAGTGCAAAATCGGGGTAAAATTTTTTTTAAGTATATCAAAAATCGTGCGACTTGGGGAGTTTTCTCCCAATTGTATTGTTGAAATAGATGAAACTAAAATAGGAAAGAACAAACACCATAAAGGCACCGAGTTGGTGGTGTATGTATTCTGAGAATGCTCGAGCGTACGCCTTGCTAAAAACTTGTATTGATTAAAGTTACCAACAGAAAAGAAGATACACTTACAGCGCCAGTTAAAAAGTATGTCGGGCCAGAAAGTATTATACAGACTGCTGAAGAGGATACGCCAAATTGAGTGAATTTACAGAATATACACATTATAATGTAAATCTCAGTATTGGTTTTATTAATAACCAAACAGGTACGCATATAAATACAATAGAAGGGATATGGGCAGGGCAGTTGTAAAGTTAAATATTTCTGCCAGACATAGAAAATATTTAAAAATTAGTAATTTTTTAGAATTGTTTGCGTTTACAAGAAATCAAAAATCTTTTGTATTTGAAAAAGTAATTAAATTTCTTTGCGATTAACAAAAATCAACTCATTTTTAAAATTTATTTTGATTTATTATGTTAAATTTTATGCAAAAAACATCCCTTTTTTCTTCAATGATTTTTTCTCCTCCTCAATTTTGCACCTCATTCTGGGGGATAAAAATTTTTAATCGGCAGGGACAAATATGTTTCTATTGTATCCCAACTTTCTTGTCTTAACTAAAAAAAATCTACAAAAACTTCATAATGCACTTAAAAGATTAAATAAAAACATAAATAAGCTTTTATAGAAAAATACGATCGATTCTAAAATTTACTTTTTTATATTGTAACAAGAAATAGTGATATCTTAAACTTTTGACGAGGTTTTAAATTAAAAATGAAATTTTGTCAGCAGGGACAAATTAAATAACATTTAAACAAAATTAAATATTTAAAACCTTTGCAAAATAGAAAACTCTGAGCATTTCGGGTGGGGGTTGTTTTATTAAAATCGTTTTTACTATACGTATTCCCAATTTTAACATGTCCTAAACTTTTTAAGAGCCAGTGTATGTATTGCCGAATCTTTATAAACATAATTAATTAATAATTCTTCGAATGTTTATTCTTTTTTGCTTTCAAAAGACACCATAATAATTTGTCTTTTAAACTATATGTCTGATAAGCCCCTGCCTATCTCAAGAAATTTACTTATTGCCTTTTGCTTAACATTGGCAGACCACAGTTTTAAAACAAAAGTATTTCCTTAATCGATAATTTTTTATAGAAAAAAGGAAACATTTTTCAACAAAGACAATTTTTTTCTACAGCACCTCCAAGTACATCTGTAAACATAAATTTTCATTATATTCATTGCTAAATAAATTATATTTCACGCACTTTGGATCAAAGGCACTTGATGGGCACTGTGCCCGTCAAGTGCCTATGTAGTAAAAATTTTATAAATTTAAAATATTTTAGAGTTCTTCAATGCAGATGTCAGAATGATTTGAAAACGTTTGACAAAAATCACATGAAGAGATACTTTCTTAATGAACAACAATCTTATTTATGATAAACCATATTGTTTACATTTTAATGCTGAAATGTTTTTAAATCTGATAATGAAGGGGGCTTGGGATACGTTTGGAGGTGATATAATAAAGAGAGTGAATTTTACGGGTGTAGGCGTTTGATTTTATCTGATTCTTTTTTACAAGTCAAAAGATCTCCCGTGAAACACTTAAAAGTTATATTTTACCTAGTAAAAAGGTTAAAGCAATCTGATATAATTGATTTTGTAAGTGGTTTGAATATTAAAATAATACGCAGCATTAAAAAGAAATGCGATGAAAAAATAAAGTTGTATTTTGATAACCATCCTATAATGTTAGGGGGCCAGAACGTTATTCTTTAAGTCGACGAGACCAAGCTAAATTTTAACACGAAAAGTCATAGGGGGAGGAAAATTGAACGTCCAGGTTGTGCGTTAACCACGGCGGACACAAGTACTAAACCAGCCAAAGCCTTTACCTCGATGGTGTCTTCCAGAAGCGCGCCTGTCATGCTTCCGACAAAGAGAATGCTGTGCGTTTAAATAGTATTGTCCATTCCGATAAATGAGCAGCTTATGGGGAATTCTCTCAAAAAAATAATTGCTCACACGGTACTTTAGCACATAAATATCACTTCGTAGATTCTTCCGCAGCCGTACACACACAATACGTTAAAATCCTTAACAATAAAATTAAACTATAAATTAAAGCTCAAAAAGATGTACAAAAAACACCCCGACAAACGTTTCTTAATTTTTTAATGTTTTGTGGACTTTTCAAGGCTGGGGCGTTTTTTTACAAATTAAAATTACTTCGAGTTAAATGAACATTTTATTTATACTATTATTATGTGCCCGTCAAGTGCCTATGATCTAAAAATGCCTGCCGGGTGCCTATAATCCAAAGATTCTCCGTATTAAATCTGTAACAAATACGATTTTCATAATTCACAAAAATGTATTTTAGAATATCATCCAATATCTAAGCAAAAAGATAATAAGGAGTTCCTTAACATGCTGTGTGAAAAATTGGTCATAAAAGAAGGTATAAGACAGGTAGGTTAAACAAAAAGTATGAAAGACAAAAGAGAAAAATTATTAATGTTGGAAGTAAAGGTAGTTGGTTAAAATTGTCGGGAGATAGTTTTTGGACACATATTAATGACGCAAAACCATTGCATTGAGTGGATAAAATATGGTAATATTTTATTACCACATGTTTCTTCTTTTATGTTTATTTGTTGTATTAACAAATAAATTATAAAAAGAAATGTATTCTAAATACCATGTATACACGAGGAGATAATAAGCGACTCGATTAACTCAGAAGTTTGTAAGAAAATAATACCTGAAAAAACATCCCAGGAAATGTAAACAAACATTATTTCAGTGACACCATTTCTCATTCTAACTTTAAATCACACAGAACG